TCTGGCTCTACCCTGTGGCACCCCAGCCTCAGAGTCAAGTTCAGTTCCAATCTGAGTGGCCTCCCAGCCTCGCCTCCTGCTGGGGCCCAGTGCTACAGCCTATGAATGTGCCAGGAACACCAGCCAGGGAATCTGCCTTCAGAAACTACTCGAACATAGCCGCCAGTCTACCTCCTGCAAAAAACAAACATCATTTTCCAAGTCAGTGACAGGTGGCCATGGCGGTGGGTTAGTTATATCTGAGCACCCAAAGCAGCCAGGCTATGCAGTGATACATAACCAGGATGCTGAGTCAAGGGTCCTCCCACCATGTGGTGGGCAAGAACTAAGACTGATGGTGTCTGTGCCTGTCCACCACTTAACATCTCTAGACACAACTGTCACTAAAGGATGCCCGTGCCTCCCCAAGGCTGTATGTGTATCAGGAGCTAGAGAAAGAGGCTTACTGAATCACTCCACATGTCCCATCTACCCATAGTACAAATCAGTTACAGAAGGTGCTTTTTATTTTTTTCAACATCATTCCATACAAAAGCAATAGAAATGCAAGTTTTGACAAGTTTACAATTGAATACCTGAACAGAAAATCTATACACATTATCATTTACAGCAATTTTACATGGTAAATTAACTTGTCTTATGAAATACGTTCTAAATATGTTCTAAATGCCTTAACTCTTGATATTAAGATCTTGAAACTATTTACAAGTTCCAAATTAAGACTGCATAGCTAATATAAAACCCACTAATTTAACAATTCGATTTAACTGACTTTTCAGAGCTCTGTAGGGGGGGGCAGGATTACAAGGCCAGAAAATAGTCTTCAAAATCACTGTAACTGTCTGACTCAGAATTGTCAGATACCTGTAAAAGAAACTGACTCCAGACCGGTCCCATGAATACATGGTTGAATCAGCAAGCAACCCATATGACAACAGGCAACTTGAAATCTAAGACACTTAAGGAAACCAGATGAAGTACGCTTGGCAGTCTGACTTGGACATTAGCATTAGATTTGTTGCAATATTAGTTCCTGGTTCGATTCTCCTTGGCTTTAACTCCCTTTACAATTTAAAACATGCAAAACATACTATAAATAAAAATTAACATTTCTTTAAAAAATAAGGCAAAAATAACAAGTGATCATGAGATAATGAACTATTAACAGACCATTAAGTACAAATGCACAGCACATGCTTCTCCAGCCTTGACCTGGCCAGGGGAGGAAACTTTCTCATGGTGGCGGCCAGATGGCAGTTAGCTCATGGCTGAGAATTCTTTCAAGGGTTCAGTTAAACAAGCTTCCAAATCAAATTCATCCTCCACTTGACAGTCCAGATGTCTAACTTTGGTAGGTGTGCCAGAATACACATCCTAGAAAACAGAAGCATGGGTCATGTCTACATCCATCAGATACACAGGTTTTTTTCTGTATGTGTTTGTGTGTATAGGCATTCATGCATGTGTCTGTTCTGGAGCCTGAACTCAGGGCCTGAACACTGTTCCTGAGCTTTTTGCTCAAGGTGAGCACTCTACCACTTGAATCACAGCTCCTCTGCCTACTCTTTGGTGATTAACTGGAATTAAGAGTTTCGTGAGCTGGGCGCTGGTGGCTCACGCCTGTAATACTAGCTACTCAGGAGGCTGAGATCTGAGGATCGCGGTTCAAAGCCAGCCCGGGCAGGAGAGACCGTGA